CTTGCATTTGACAGAAGCAAGGCATTATTTCAAATAGGGTAAAGTCAGACTAAAGCTTGCCATATGCTATGTGAATCGCAAACGGTTCTTGATGAATCAGCCAAAATTTGCACAGTGGGTGCCCCTGTCTGAACCCTTCTGCACAGCATCCCTTGATTCAGCTGAAAAAACACTGTGGATTCTGACAGCAGCCACTGCAGCGGCCTCTGTCAGCATATAGTAGGGGATTCATCCATCCACTTTGTTTAGCATGAATAGAATAATCTGTTATTTTTTTTTAATTTAGCCCGCAGGTTGAATGAAAAAAATAAAACAGCGTATGGCCAGCTTAACACAAGGTGCCTGTACTACAGCATTGTCACCGTAAAAACTTTGTAGGCCAGTGCAAGTTTACTTCAATAAAGAGTCATTTTCATTCTCCGTTACGTGATATATATGCATTAATATTTAGGTTAAAATATCATATTTTTTTTCCCCTCTTTCTTGCAGAAATTGTATTTCCAGCAATGGATGTTCTTCGAATAGTTGTCAAAATTCCTACCATCAATGAAATGTTTTGCAGTGAAAATGGCAATCAGTTCATCAACTACCTCTTCCAAATAATGCGTCCAAGTGGCAGACAAGCCAACCAACTGCTTGCACTTCGGACATTATGTAATTGCTTTGCCTCTGAGCCAGGCGAAAGACTTATGATGTCTCAAGCGGACACTGTCATAACAAAAGCATTAGAACTAAAGGCAGTAAATAATAAGAATATCCATACTGCGCTGGCCACACTGATCCTGAACTATTGCATCTGTTTACGTAAAGCCAGCAACTTGGAAGGGAAAGCTCAATGCTTGTCAGCCATCAGCACGCTCATGGAAGTCGTACAAGACCCGGAAGCTAGTTTCCGACTACTTGTGGCTCTTGGGACACTGGTCAGCAATGATTCTAACGCCGTGCAGTTGGCCAAGTCCTTGGGAGTTGATGCACAAATTAAAAAATACATGTCTGTCACAGAACCTGCCAAAGTTCATGAGTGCTGCAGGCTCCTTTTGAGTAATCTATAAAAATATTTTCCTTACTACTGGCAGAAAAACTCTTCCTGCTATGTAGTAATTTCCTATCATGCTGTACTACAAATAAACTGAAGGTAAATTGCAGTGGATTGAATGCTGAAAGTTTGTCTTGTCTTTAAACATTTAAATAGCCCCAAAAATAAATTTTTGCACTGAACATATAGTGGGAGTTTTCCATGTTTAGGGATATCTGTATTGTACACTTTTTGTCACGGAACACCACAAGAGACCAAAGATCTCTGTAGCTTTGTTGGTCTAGGTAGCACTTGTTTATCATGTGTATTCTTGCAAAAGCAACAGAGTAGGTATTATTGCAGAAATGGTCAGACTTCACTTCTGGTTGTCACCAACTAAGAAAACATACTATGTGGGTCATGTCTTTACGGTCAAGTAATGTCTTTGTTGTTTAGTTATAACCAAGACATCTGACTGTGAAGACATGGCCCACATAGCGAGTTTTCTTAACTGGGGACATGGTCCACATAGTAACTTTTCTTAATTGGTGACAACCAGAAGTGAATGTTGTAGAAATATTGCCATGCATACTATAAAATATATCCCATGGAAATAAAAAGCCAACTGTGGGTGGAAACCAGAAGGTGGAATTCACAATTTACAAGTAGTGACTCTGTAGGTGTTTGTCTGAGTGCTTTGTAAATGAACAGATACTTGCTCTTTTTTGCTAATCTGTCTGAACATGGTCACATTAAAGAAGTAGCCACAGTGAACCTGTCTTCAACACAAGACTTTATATGTAATATAATGACCTAAAATGTAAACAAATACATTGGCTCCGGAGCTATGACACACCTGGATATGTGTACCTCTTTACTGGTAAGACATGCATATACCATGGTAGAATGCGTGTCATGTGGGCCGGGGGGGGGGGGCATGCATTTCAGAGTTCTTACAAAGATGTGATTTGCACACAGTCCACTTGCTTCACAAGTTTCTTGGACACCCATGAGACTTCAAAATTACAAGACGTCAAGCCATTTTCAGTACTTTTCCAATAAATGCACATTCTCCCATGTTTAGTCTCCTTTTTTTTTTGTAATCTATGTACATAAAGCTACCTGTTGATCCTCCCAAAAATCCTATTAGCGCCTCTTTCCTGTAGTGAGCTACAGTATGTCTCTGCAGCCTTTGAAATCCCAAGCAGTTTAGTCAAATCTGCCTGATTTTCTCCCTGCTAGATTAGAGAACACCCCCACTCTGTTATGTAGATGGAGTTGTGTGCTGTGGTCCAGCACGGGGAACGGGGCAGAGTTGACATTACTTGGGATTTCAATGCATGTGGTCAGTCATCTCAAACAGGAAGAGGCATTTCTGGCAGATCAGCAGGTGCTCTGTACTAGCAGCTTTGTGAAGTGATAAAATATGGGGAAATAATGCATGCGCTGCAGAGATGTCCTGAAAGGGTTTTCTTTTTCATCCATTAGGGGGGGGGACTGACACATTCAGAAACAGTTGGTTATACTGCTATCTGCAGGAGGTTTAGGACTTTGGCAAACAGAAAAATTGTAAGCTAGCCCTTTTTTTGTTTTGCTAGTCTCCTAGAAGGTTGAAAACCCTTTCTTCGGCTCTGCTAAAGAAAACAAAAAAAAAAAAAAACTCACCCAACAGATTTATCTGGGTACAGTAGAACCAGAAATAGTGTGGTTAACAGCATGCACCTCCCTCCACTGCTGTCAGCTGGTCTCTATATGGCAGCCATCTGGATCAGTGTTTCCTCAGCCTAGATTTGGAGGCTCTACCTGGATCCCACTGGACTGGATGCTGTCAGGCTGATGCCTGTTAAACATTCACACTCACAGCACATTGGGGGCAGAAAGAGATGAAAAGACAGAACCCGTCATCCATCCCAACCCTATTGTTCTGAAACTGTATTGTAACTGTACTGTCTCCTCCTTTTTTTAAAGCGCTGAGCAAATTGTTGGCGCCATATAAATCCTGTATAATAAATCTATCCACACCTCAAAACCAAGCAAACGGAAAGTGTTCACATCTTATCATTATGTCCACATGGGTGGTACAGGAATACAGTCCAGGCACCATTTTGGATGTGGGCAGAAGCCACTAGATCCTGCTGGTGGAATGCACAGCAACCATTCCAGCAGCCAGGAGGAAACATTACAATTGGCTTTGGGCGAGACCACTGGAACACATGGCATGGGTTCAGGCAGCAATGACTGGGAACAGGACACAGTGACATGGAATAAGACAGGGCAGGATTCATTATAGTAAGGAAAGGTACGGCAGGGTTAAGAGAGATAGAAAGTTGTGAGATGAAAGGGTAGTGCATTGCTTGTGAGGGAACATTGCTGTGCTTACTTGACCATACCTAATCTACTTCACATGCCCCAAAGAACACTACAACAGGGCTTCTTCTAAACCTGAGCTTAGAGGCTGAAAAGGTGGGGATATCAGATCAGGAGAGGCTAACAGAAAAACTTTCCCTGGTAACTGGTCTATGAAAAGGACAGAAAGAAAAAAAAAAAGATGTGTACGTATGGTTTGGGGAGGCTTTTTTATTGGTAATTTTTCCTGTGAACTCAAGAGGTGGGTCTTCTCACACAGTATGCTATCATGATGCACCAGAAAATAAAACCACCTGTGTATAATAAACATATTCAAAATAAATCCTGGCCTTGGGCTCATGCTATTTCTGCAAACAGTATAACACACAATGAAATATATTATTAGAAATTCAATGAATGGCAAATCACCTTCACACCTCATACATTTATATTGTTAATTCCCTTGAGTATGAAAAAAAAGTTTTATCTATAGATTTGCACACAAACAAAATGGTAGGAAATGATCCCACTGCCTTCCCCAGTACATATCCTAGAGCAGTGGTTCTCAACCTGTGTATCCTCAGGATCCACATTTGTCCTTGTTCATAAGGTCACAACCCAAGTCACACTGCAATAGAATGCACAAAACTAGGGTACACACTCCAAAAAATATTAAGTTCCACCCAGTTTCCCTTACTTACGAGAACTGGAGTGGATCCTTAGCCTGGGATCCACTGTGGGCTGCTGTGTTGTACGGGAGCTCCATCCATATGTGCATTGCTTGTACAGCTCCCTTGCATGCCCTGTAGAGGTGCCGGGAGCCAGAATGTCACCCCAGTCCAGGCACCTCTATAGGACACATGAAGGAGCTGAAAAGCAATGCACGCATGGATGAAGCTCCATCACAGCACAGCAGCTCCCTTGCGGCCATAGCCATCATCTCATCCCACCTCAATCTGACACTGCGCCGGGCAGCATATTTTTAATGGTGGGCTAGGGGGAGGCAGAGGAGCCTCTCACCTAGAAAAGTGGAAGGCATGTGGCGACCCACTGAACATGAGCAAATGGCAAGCCACTCGCACTCCAATATAGCTTCCAGTCAATCTATTGACTAAATGGTGCAGCATTTCCATACAAACGTTTCGGAACCAAAGAGGTCCCTTCATCAGGCAAATAGAAAGCAGGGACCTCTTTGGTTCCGAAACGCTTGTATGGAAATGCTGCACCATTTAGTCAATAAATAGATTGACTGGAAGCTACATTGGAGTGCGAGTGACTTACCATTTGTTCATTGTTACCTGTGGAGGCTGTTGCTGTCACTGCCGCACCCGCCCTGTGTGTGGGGAATTTCTTTGTGGTCAGGAGTGCGATGGGACGTTTTGGATTTTGAATTCCACTGAACATGAGGTCGCGACCCACTTTTGGGTCACGACCCACCAGTTGAGAACCAAGGTCCTAAAGGCATGAGAAGAAAAACAGCTTTTTTTTTTTCTTCAAGGTTGTATCTTCCCGTTCACAGGTTATATATACACATTGCCTTATTTAAAATGTCCACTTGTCATTTGATCTAACAACTTTGAGTTTTATAACAATCTGCAGGTTCTGTTTGTATAAACCTTTAATAAATCCACGGTGTTAATGGAATGTAAAACTTTGTTAGCTCTCCAACTGTCCATTAAATATAAAAGGAATAGGAAATAATGTCCGGCCCACGGATCAAGGCCTCATCTTGCACCCCTAGTGGTGTCTGCAGTTTAGACACTTGGAAGTTATATGCTTCCATGTCACAGGCATTGAACTTCCCAGCACAGACTGTGACACGTTGGTACATTGTGAAGGTAACAGGAAGCCCTGAGGAAGCAAGGAGACTTCGTAGGAAGCACTCTCGAAGAGTGGAACGTATTTTCTGATATGAATCAAGAGCCTGGTGGGCCAGGGCCCGCGGTGAAGAAGGATCAAATCCACGGCCTGAAGGAGACGGCGGCCGAGGTAAGCGGATTACAGGCACCTGGGGAAGGAGAGGAGGATTCTAGGAAGAAGAAAAAAAAAAGGAAGAAACATTAGTACATGGAAGAGGAAAGACGTGATATTCTATGGCCAGCCTAATGCCTAAATACAAGTGGTCTAACTACAGGAGCAACAGGGAACAAAGAAAATTGAAGTTGCCTGGCTGCCATGCTTATCCTCTGGCGTCAAAATGTTCTGAATCACTGACTGGAAAAAGTATGACGATCAGGACTTTAAAGTTTAGTGGCTGCATATTTGTAGCATTCAGTGACAGAACATTCAATAGCAAGCCATTGGATTATTATGACATTATGACAGTCAGGCAACCAGTATTTTCAGATAGAGGTTAAAGACACAATGGAAATCTATGGCAAAAATTATATTGTGTGTTTAAAGCCCACCCCTCAACATTTTATACAGTAAACTCCCAGTTATTTGGAATTCAACTAACCAGAACTCTCATCTAACCAGAAGAAAAAAATTCCCATATGTACTCACTGTTCTGCTGATGTGCAGCATGTATTTTCCTCGAAACGATCATGCGTCTATTTTGCTTAATTTGTTTTTGATTCTTGCATTTCAATGTTAATATGAAGTCAATACAGAGTTTATGTTATGGTATAGTATGGGGTATGCCATTAGTTAGACCTATTTGTAATACTAACTCTCAAGCAACCAGAAACTACAGTAATCCGGAATATACCAATCCCTGTGGATGCCAGATAACAGGGAGTTTACTGTACTAAGCTCTCAAGTGATCCCCCACAGTGCTTAGAGGGAGTGGTGGCATTACCTCCTTTGTTATGTGAAAGCATATAGCCCTAGCGTTGCCAGTGTTTCCACCATACTTGGAAACACTGGCAAGTTTGCAGTAGCCCCTTACAAGTTGGGGGGGAGGGGGGGTTGTTGCTGGTGGTAGGCTTTGCAAAGACACACACTGTCACTTGATCACTGTGCCCAAAGGTCAACCTTCATATTTTTCTCAGCACAGGTTTCCTTTAAAAGGAGAACTATGGGGTCAGGGCTTTTCCCCATAGTTCTCCTTAGGGTAACGGGAGGACACAAACTAGCGTCCTCCCGTTACCCTAAGCTCAGTATACCGCGACGCCGCAGCCGGAGCGGATCCCGACATCGATGTCGAGATCCGCCCAGCTGCATGAGTGACAGCTGGCTCTGCCTATCTAGAGGCAGAGCCAGCTGTACCCGCCCCCTCCCCCGTCCGTTCCGCCAGTCAGCGCTGGCAGATCGGGGAGGGGGGAATCCAGCCCCTCCCCCTGTCACGGCAGAGAGCCGGTATATGTTCGCTCACCTCCCGATCTACTGAGCCGACCTGTGACAGTCTCATTGTCACAGGTCGGCTAGAACTATGAGGTGAGTGAAAAGCACTCACCTCATAGTTCTCCTTTAAATACCCAGGTAAAAAAGTAAAAAAGTGTAGATTGATGGGGAAACTAGGAATAGGATGAAGAGATGCCATACTGCAAGGTAAAAAAGAAAAAGGGGGACGGCGCCCTTTTTTACATGCAAGGGGGACAGCAGCCCTTCTCTCCCCCCCATCAACGTTGACGTGAAGAAACGTCTTTTGGGCACTGTCTTGCGTATTCATACTGCAATGTAGCCTTTCGGACAGGAATTTGAGAGCCACCATTGCTAACTTGTTCTGCTGGTGCATGTTTGAGGGCTGTCATGCTTATCCTTTCTTTAGTGTGATGAGTCAATGACCTGGAGCAAGCATGTATATATCAGATGTGGAACCATTTATAATACTAATGCCTGTTGCAGGTTAGTAACTAAGTTTTACATAAATTATAAAGATGACAGCCCTGGAACATGTTAATGCATTTAATGTAAGTAAGTCAGCAAAGGCCCCTTTCAAAGGTCTATTTTGCCAGGTTTCCTTTAATTTGTGATCATTTTAAAAGGCAGTTAGGTATTTAGCAGTGGAAAAAATGGCTGCTTAAACATAATGAGTGATAATCTGAGAAATTAAAAATTAAAAAAAGGGAACAATGGACCTTAAAGTGAGATTAGAGGAGAAATCTACGGTCTCTGATCCAGCGTCGACTCCTGCCTCTTCCTGTCCCACGAAGTCGGTGCAGGTGCATTGACTTACACTGTGTCTTTCCTCTTCTACCGTCCGAAGATCTCTACTGCACATGCCCCCGCTCCATGATCCTTTCCGGGCCCCCGAGAATCTTCAGATCTTTGGGCGGGAGCGCGCGCCCGAGATACAGGGAAGTTTAAACCTATATGGTTCTTTTTTTTATGTTTTTGCTTGCTAGCAGTAGATATATGCAAAAAGTGTGAGGAGTTTAATGATCCTTTAATTTTCATCCTACACAGTTACTAATCAGATTCAGACCTATGGATTTCAAGTTTTATGATCTTTGCAGTAGCCCTATCACACACCCAGATCTAGGTGCCTGTGTGTACTTCTAGTAACTATGCGTATAATGCATATGCACATATGTTGTAACCATTCCACACATGTACTAGCCCATCCTCTTCTGCTCAAAGCTCCACTTTCAAGCAATCACTTTCCTAAAGTGGAAGATGTTCTGGAATGATGTGGAATAGAATTATTAGGATTTAGCTCTGAGTTCTATGACCTTTAGGCCTCATTTACATGCACACTGTGGGGTTGATTTACTAACCTTATAAACACACCACGAACAAGTATACACCTCTGTAGTGTGTTCCCTCCCAGCATGTTCTATGGGTGGAATCTAGACACGTTTGTAGTGTGTACACACCCAGCAGGTGTGTTGTGCAAAGCCCTGCATGAATTTGCAAGGTGATGTTGTGTAAATTAGCTCTACATTGTGTTGCTTGCGTTGATGAATGCAGGAATGTAAATGCATGAGCTAACCATTTTTGTCTAAACTGTGAAGCAGCATTATATATGCATCATGTGCATGATTTTTCCATATATGGCATTAGTGGAAACATGCTTATAGAGACTTTTTGGTTGATAAATACGCTTTGCTGTGTAAAAATCACACACACCTGGTGCGTGCGTGTGTTTAGGTTAGTAAATCACCCCCAGTATGTCTGTGCAGAAACCTGCCCCCAGGAAGGACAGCTGGTGCATGTAGCCATATACAGCCACCAGTAGAACTCAATGACAGGGCATGGCGGTACGTGGCTACAAGATGACCCAAGCTCACACATCTGTACAGGTACAGATGCACACCCTTGGACACAGGCCGCCTACCTGTATGGATGTGCACGTTCAGGTCGGCGTGTTTTTACCAGACAGGAAGTGAGGGAAAATATCAAAAAGCAACCCAGAAAGAAATACAAATGCTACTTTTATGAGGGCAGGTGAAGGCTAGAATCCCCGACAGATTTATATTGATGTCCGTGTCCCTGTTACAGATTTTTCCTCACTTGTTGCCTGGTAAAATGTTGTTACAGTAACCGGAAGTGAGGGGAAATCCCTATAAAGGATTCCGGGATAGCAATAAAAAGCTGACAGGGCTTCTAATACCTCCCCATTTTATTTATTTGTTACTTTTCATGCACGTTAACACATATACAGGTTTTACAAAAAGTCAATTGGCAGTTGCCACATTTCAGTTTCCATAGAATATAGAATCACACTGTTGGTATTCTCACATTGTAGGTGTATGCATAAATAGAAGCATTATTCATTGTTTGCCCTCACTTGGTATGGCCTGTGTGGCCTCAAAATGTATCTACATATGTGTAATGACACGTGTGTATTTTATAGTGGTAGGTGAGGGCAGTCTCAGGCTAGTGTGGCTGCTTAGATCGTCCTGCTATACATGCTCAGTCTTTTACAGTACCTCATTTAGGGTGTTCATATCACCTCTTCCGCCGTTCAGTCCTTTCGTCGATCTTGTATCCCCCTACTTCCTTGTTCAAACCATGCTCGGAATCCAAGCCTCACTTTCAGATTATTGTCATGTGTCCCAAGCCTCACTCTCAGATTGAAGTCACGTGTTTAAAGGCTGACTCTTCCTCCTGTCCATACCTTAGAACAGACATTCAGTAACACGGACTAATATATATATAATTATTTTTATTTTTTCATGTGTTTTATCCTGCAGATTTTTTTAATTGTATCCTCTAATACAGAAGGAGGCAACCTCAGCACTCAGAAACTACAAATCCCATAAGGCATTTAAGGGCTAACAGCCCCAGGCATGACTCCCAGGGACAGATGCATCATGGGAGTTGCAGTTTCACCACAGCTAGACTGTGAGGCGGAACAGACAGTGGCCTAACCCTGCTCTAGTAAATATAATTGGTTAACACATAACTGCCAAACTGAAAGTGAGGCTCGGAATATAGGGACTAACTTGAAATCAGAGTGAGGCTTGGAACACAGGAAGCTGATCTGAGAGCGGGGCTTGTGGTTTGATCATAGAAGGAAAGGTGGAAGTGGTGGAGCAGAGTTCATATAAACACACTAAATAAGGTACTGTAATGGTTGATCATTTGTAGCAGAGACATCTAACTGCTTACACTAAATCAGGATTATTGTGGTGGGAGAGGGCATGAAGGGCTGCTAGACACTATATTAAACGTGGCTGATATCTACAATTGTAGTGACAGGTATGCGCAGTGATTATTCCATTCGTAGCAAATAATGAGCGCAGAGATGCAATGACAGCTGTGCAGTATATAGGGATATCATTGTTTTCCTGTATAATTGATCCCCAGAGGCACGATCACAGCTCACTCCTCTGAGACTGCTAGCACTTGTTTACCTGCCAGCCAAATAAAGATCTTTTTTCATTTCTCAGCTTTATGTGGAAGACTGCGAGCAGAGCACCAGTGCAGACATGACTGGTGGGAAGAAAAGTTCCAGGGAAAAGAAGAAGAGGAGGAGGTCAAGTTCTCATGACACGTGTTCCCAGGCTGAGAGGAAGAGGAGGACTACAGATCCCAGACACCAGGTATTTATACCTTTATACTCGTATAGCGCTGGCATTTTACGCAGCACGCATACTGCACATTCACATCGGTCCCTGCCCTCAAAGAGCTTACAATCTAGGGTCCCGATCTCACATAAATACATACATACGCAGACATCACAACTCTCCCGGATGTTCCGGGAGTCTCCTGCTATAAGATAGCGGCTCCCGGACACCTAGGAGAGAAACTTTTTCTCCCTGAAAGGTTTATTCTGCTCGATCTAGCAGAGTAAACCTTTCCCGTTCATCTGTTTTGTTTTTTTTTACATCGGGGCCGCTGTCAGTCAGAGAAAAAGAAAACAACGGCATAAGAATGAATAGCTAGTCTCCGATTAGCTATTTCAATTTGCAATAGCCAATAGTAGACTAGCTATTGCACCTGCCCACTGCTGCTGTCAATAAGCAGAGGTGGACCGGAAGGTCTTCATCAGGTCCTCCTTTGCTGATTGACAGTGTGAAGGAATATGGATCATATCAAGAAAATGTCCTTTTCTATGTTTTAAATTGTTTTGAATTAGTTTCATTTGCTCCCTAGCTTTGTGACTTTCCTTACTCAGCTTTTTAGCGTTGCTATGCGTAACCAAGATGGATCCTGTATTCGGGAGTGCGCCGAGGACACATGAAAGGAATGCCGAGGGAGGACGCTACAGGCAGAAGATATCTTTGACTAACCAATTAGCGAGAGACACAAGACTTTAACTAACAGCCCCTCTAGTTTGCCCAATAGTACAAGACATTTAGAGATAACAGAGGTGGGCATATGTGTGACGAACACTCTCCTGTTATCTGTGTATAAAGGAGAGAGACCGCCCTGAATAAAGTAGATGCGTCATAAACCTTAATCCTGTGTTTGTGATTTCTCCGGTGCACCGAAAACGACATAATTAGAAACAGCAGCAGACATCTTGTGTGAACCCAGTTGTCGTTCAGATCCATTTCAACAGCAGCAGAGGGCCGGTGTAATAGTCAGCTTGGTATTAGCTATTGCAAATTGAAATAGCCAATAGCAATCTAGCTTCTCATTCCTATGCTGGGTTTGTTTTGTGTTTTATTATTATTGACGGAAGGAGCTGTCAGAATACTAAAAAAAAAACAAAAACCAGCAGATAGCAAGGGAAGCATCAGCTTCTTTGCTATCTGCCATCATTGCAGGGGGCGGGGGGGGGGGGAAGAGGGCACCTTCCTGAAATGATTTTTTTTTCAGGTTGGGATCCCTGCATACATACAAGGGCCAATTTAGACAGGAGCAAGTTAACCTTGCAGCATGTCTTTGGAGTGTGGTAGGAAATCCAAGTACCCGGAAGAAATCCGCCCAAGCACAAAGAAAACATGCAAACTCCCTGCAGATAGTAACCTGACCTGGATGTGAACTGGGGACTGCCCTGTGCTGCAAGGCAGAAGTGCTAACCACTAATCCACTGTGACATAAACATCTCCATCTTCTTTGTTGTTATAATTGTATAACAACAAAGAACTAGGACTCAAGCACTTTGGATTCACATCTATAATAGCATGCGGTTATTATGAACTACTGTATTTACTGTCACATCTGTATGGAAAAACTCCTGTTTATGCATTGTCATGTACAGGCTTTACCTGTGTATATGGACTAACCTAATGCACTTATGCTACATTCCTACATATAGTAAGTGTGTGTCAGCCTTAATTCACTAAGCTATAATATATGTTATTTACCATATCAATTGTCTGAAATTATTGTTGAGTGTATCAGTTGCATTACTTATAGTTTACTGTATTGAGCCTATTGCTGCTAAAATGATGGTTGTTACGTTATATATGGCTATCATTGTAGCTTGATGAATTTGAGCCTCATGAATGATCAAGCTGAACCCAGAGAGGCAGCTAAATATGGAGTGGAAATAGACACTGTATATGGTTTGTTATTCTGTGCAGCAAGTTTTGTAAGCCAATTCGCACCTCTGCCAGACAGTGCAGGCAGGGCTTGACCTCCAAAACAAAGGGCATTTATCCCTTTTGCCCCCAACTCTGACTGAAATGATTGCATCCTCCCTCTCCACAGATTGGTACTTGCCGAGATTCAATGAGCACGCTTCCGCTATTATTTACATCCAGCGTTGCAATGCTTCGTCTGCTGTCTGCAACTGCGCATTACAGCCTCAAATACTTCTATGGCAGCCTTTTGGCTTCCTCAGGGGTGCCTCAAAATGTTCGCATTACGCCTCAAATGAGAAGAGTGCTTCTAATGTAAAGGGGGAGGGGGGCTCCTGATGTGAAAAAGGGGAATTCTAGTGTGAAGAGGGGCTCCAAATGGGAAGGTGTGCTCTTGATGTAAAGGGAAACTCTAATGTGAAAGGGGGAGAATCTGATGTGAAGAAGAATGTGAACCCCATTTTTCTGTGTTTTTGCTTGGGGTTTCCCCTTAAAAACCATACCTTGACCTCTTATCTTGGATGAGAGTCTGGTATGGATTTTGGAGGGACCACACAGCATTTTTTTTTTATTTACGGTTTTTACATTCAGATTAGGGTGCACTTTGTCTAAGGGTACATTTTTTTTTCTTTAATTAAATATTACAACATCTTGTTCTCAATGGCTACAAATGTTTATCATCAGACCCATTTTTTGTTGGAAATGACTTTGTAATGCTTTTAATTATTCTCAGGAACCAGAAACATCTGCTCTATGTTCTGTGGTGAAAGAAGAAGAAGAAGTGGAGGAGTTGAGTGATATAGAAGAAGGTGGACTAGACCTGAATGTGCCTCTTAAGCCTATTAGCTTCTACATATCTGATAGAAAGGAGATGATGGAGCATTGCTTCCGTGTCCTTGGCGATCGGAAACTTAAGAAAATGCTTCCTGATATGCTTAAGGTAAGGAGGTGATTAATCCTAGAGCTCACAAAATAAACACACTATACACCAAAAATCTGGTTTAAATAGCTGGAAACAACTTCAGTCTGGGATAGCTCCATTAGAATTAAGACCTTTACCTAGTGTTTACCTTTTTGTTAAGTTTAGGACTAAGAAATAACTATTTAAAAAAATGTACTTTTTCTTAGTCATGGAAGGTTACAGTTTTTGATATGAATATTTTTTACCGCCTTCAGGGCTTGTTCGCACCGAAAGCGTGTAGAGCTGCAGCTAACGATTATTTTCAAAATCGATTAGTTAGCCGATTATTAAGTTCGATTAATACAATGACCTGGTGGAAGCAGATGACTGCAGCTCTTTTCTTCTGTGCTGTAAAGACATTGCGGGGAATTTATCAAAACTGGAGCAGCTAAAATCTGGAGCAGTTGTGCAAGAGAACCAATCAGATTCTCTCTTCAGTTAAGATTTGAAAATGAAAGAGAGAAGCTGATTGATTGCCATGCACAACTGCTCCAGATTTTAGCTGCTCCACTTTTGATAAATTCCCCGCAATGTCTTTACAGCACAGAAGACAAGAGCTGCAGTCATCTGCTTCCACCAGGTCATTGATAAATTCCCCTCACTGTTATTTGATTCCCTGTATCTAAAGCCAAACGAAAATGATGATATTGCAGCTTACTAGTCCTTGGATGCGGTGGCTGCATTTAGTGTTTCTATATTTATGGGGGCAGCCATGATTGTCGCACAGTCTGGTCTTTTAACAGATGTGCCTTTTTGTTCATCTCTGTTACATGGAGGGTTGATGAGATTAGCAGTTAAAACAATAAAGATAAGGTTCTTTGTGCTCACAAGAAGTGACAAGCACGTTATAGAACAAGTAGTTTGTGTATTTGGCAAAACGTTCTTAGCCTGATAAATGAGAACTAGTACAACGACCACAGCTAAAGACTGGTAATCTGGGGCTTGAATACACTTCAGGCCCCATTCACACTAGGGTACAATTTGGTGTGTTTTATATGCGTTTTTAATTGAGAACTATGGGGTTAGGGCTTTTCCCCATAGTTCTCCCTAGGGTAACGGGAGGACACAAACTAGCGTCCTCC